GTGCTGTCTGAGAAGAAGATTTAAAAACTAATAAATCTTCTTCTCAGACAGCACACTCCAACCATGACCCCAAGTCGTAAAACGAGCAGGAAACCACGTGTCGGAGATACCATGAATGGTCTGGTAGGTCTTCGTGCTCGAACTTGTATTTCTCCGCGGCTGCGCACTTGCCGAGGCTAGCGACTCAGCGTAGTGCGAGGTTATCGCTAGGAGCTGCAAGCCAACATTATTTCCGCGACACTAGATCGTGTCTGCGAAGACATTCTCATGCGAGATATATGCAAAGATCGCGATGCCTTACTCAAGCAGCTTCTCTTTGAGTGTTGAGCCTTGCTCCAAAGGCCCGACTCGTACTTGTCCTTGGAGTCGTTGCTCTATGGTTTCCGCACGAGCTTTCTTGCGCTGTTCAGTCCTTTCTTTGACGCCCGCTTTGTCATATCGACTTTTCATTCCATGTTTGAGGCGAGTAATCATGTCACCCGCCTTGCCCTTGCTCACATCTTCCGGCTTTAAGGCATCTTCTTTGGGACGGAATTTGTTCAAAAAGTCGACCTGAGCTTGCGACGCACGACCCTTACGCCATGCTTGATGCTTTGAGATGTAGAAGTGTTGGAAAGCATCCATCGCATATGTGTCTGCCGCGTGAACAACATGGTCGAATGAGTCACCTTCGGCGATGACACGCGCTCTACCCCAGGGGCTGTTGACGATTTTATCAGCCGGCAACTTCCAGTGGTACTTGGCGATAAAACGACCTTCGACATCTCCGGATGGTTCAATTACTAAGTAGTTGCCAGTATTGCCACTGAGAACGTATTTTCCGTCGCCAACGGCAACCCAAACGTTCTGGCTAATATTGCGTATGTATTGATCGGCGGAAGTATCGGCTATCAGATCATGCACAGAGTCGTATTCAGTGAATGAGACGGTTCCGGGTAACTTTTTAGCGACAGTTTTCTTCCTAAGCTCGGAAGCTTCCTCTTCGCGTTGCTTGTCAGAAAGCTTCTTTTCTTTAAGCTTCGTCAAGCTTTTAGTGTCTGCTTGGTCGACGATCTCGCCCGGGTCGAGGCCGAACAACGTAGGCGTTGACACTACTCCGGTGCTAAGTGCCGAAACCATGTCGATGATGTGACAATTCTGCTTGTCCTTATGTAACCGCATGCCACGTCCGATCATCTGAACGAGGAGATTACGAGACTTGGTGGGGCGAGCTAGCAGCACGCAGTCGATATTTGGAATATCTGTCCCCTCAGTGAAGACACCGCAGTTCAGCAGCACCGGAAAATCGCCATTCCTAAAAGCGTCTATACGCGCGCTGCGGATCTTTGGAGGTGTGTCACCGGTGACATATTGGGCATCGATGCCGGACGTCCGGAACCTAGCGGTCAAGTCGGTAACATGGCTGAGGTCGACGCAGAATATGAGGGTGGAGTGTCGGTCCCTTGCCTTTGCTAGCCAAGTCTTGACGACGAGCTCGTTCGTCTCAGCAGTGTTGATGACTGTAGAGAGGGCGCCGGTTTGGAAGTCGCCACCAGCGCCAGTGCCCACTTTGGTCAAATCGGCCTTGATCTCGACTGTTGTAAAGATGACATCGGAAAGCCAGTTCTCATCGATCATATCGACATAGTCACTAGACGTGTCAGTTTGGGTCTATGCTCGAGAAAGCTCGTGTCATACCGATGATAGACGATGTGGTCAATGACAGCTCCCAGCTTCCTTCCGTCGAAGCGCGAAAAGGTGGCCGACACGCCGACGAGGGCAGGAGCGTTTGACTTGGTCCAGTCAGTCGCATGTCTCAGACCGAAATGCTCCAAGACGTCCAGGTATGTCTGGCTGACAATGTGATGTGCCTCGTCCACCAGTACGAGCTTATACCGCGAAGGGTCAAACTTTTCCAATCGTCCACCCGATGTGATGCTCTGTATGGAGGCGACGGTTATGTCGGCAGCACCAGAGGCCTGGTTGTTGCCCATCTCGATGTCTACATGTTTATCGGGGTATGCGAGGCTGCAGTGGCGTGCAGCTTGTTCAACGAGTTCGCGGCGGTGGGCGAGGATGAGCGTCTGGGAAGCGTCGCCAGTGGCGGCTATGCGGTCGATGAGGTGGGTGAAAATGACGGTCTTGCCGGAACCCGTCGCCAGAGAGACGCCGAGGCGTTTGTGGCCAGCATCGAGGTAGGACAGCACAGCTTGTATGCAGTCTTCCTGGTACTCGCGCAGCTGGATCTTCAGCGGCGGTGGAGGCGGAGGCGGAGGAGCTGGGGGCGGACTGGGGACCACGGCCTGGGGGCTCTTGGCCCTTCTTGAAGCATATCTCGTGGTTGCGCAAACAGGCTGGTAGCCCATTCGCGTGCAGTTCCTCAACGCATGCTGGGCGAAGCGGAACATCAAGACGCGTGCCAGGACAAAGTGGGAGCGAAGATGTTGCCAAGTCACGATGCATGACGCAGGTCCATGGTACAAGACGCGGTACGCCGAGGCCTGGCCCCACCAAAATGTTTCCGCGCTCTTCACCAACCTTGGGACACTGCGACCATCACCGCCCACCATGGCCGCTATACGCGCACAACCACATGACGTGACTCAGCATATCTTCCACGGCGATACTGAGGTCGCGCCTGCCCTCTCGCATCCGCCATGAGTTCCGCATCCGACTACAAGCATTCCGAACCGTCAGAAGATTCCAGCGATGAAAGTTCGCGACCGCCTACACGACCAACATCGCGCCGCCAGTCGTCTACGTCGCACACGCCACGCAAACGCCGTCGTCTAGAGTCGATCGATCCTGCCCGCGTGCGCAAATACTACCTCGAGGGAAAGTACAACGACGCCTACCGCGTGCTCTTCAACGAGGACGTGACTCGGGCTGCTGCGCGCTTCGAGACGGATGCCGAGAGCTTCCAGTACTACAACAGACAAATCGGCGCTTCACATTGGTCAGCACAGGAACAGGCTGTCTTCTTCGCGGCGCTTGAGCGATTGGGAAGGGACGACATCCCCGGCATAGCAAGAGCGATCGGCACCAAGAGCATACCAGAGACGCAGGAGCTGCTATTGTTGCTTCAAGATGCTGCTACCAGGCAGGGCGATGCTAAGGTGACACTCCGCGACGTCCCTGCTGCCATCGACGTGGGCGACGAGTGCAACGAGCAGCTGGATCTTGCGGGTGAAGCCCTGGCGTGGATGCAGGACGTCTTTGAGGCTAGCCAGGAGCGAGAGAGATTCGGCGACTACTGGCTGATCACGCCTGCTGTAGCTGACAAGATTGAGAGCGCACACGACACTGGTCGTGACCGAGCGACCACATCACCGCCTGCCAGCGAGCCAGAACCGTCACGGAGAGGCGGAAGAGTCGTCGTAGGGTATGCAAGGCCTACCAACACCAGGCAACAGCATGCTGACATATCACAGAGCATGTATCTCATGCAAAAAGTTCAAGCAAAAGTGCGATCGAGCAACACCATGCGCCAACTGCGTACGACGGAATACGGGCGAATGCACATATCCCGAACAATCTCTCAAATCAGAGGCAGGCGACCAACCTGACAAGAAAGCGCCCAAGAGAAAGCACGGCATCCTCGAAGATATTCCAGAAGCCACTCTATTACACCCACAGGTCATGCTCACTCTCTCCAAGACCGTCTTCATGAACCGCTCGCCTACGATACCATCCCCTTGGCCACATTGGTCCGAATACACCTCGGAGCTGGCTCGAGAACCAAGCATCTACCGGACCGCCTTCAACGACTTCCACACACTTGTTCTCTCCGTCACCAAGCGACTCGTCCAGACGGCTCTCATACAGGCTACTTCACGTCTTCGATCACAAAGGCACCGTGTGAAAGGCGGTATTCCTCTAGTAAAGAAAAGGGATGTTCTGACCGCCATCGATATTGTGGGGATGCAGCAGAACGGTCAAGAGAGATGGAAGGGGGTAGCCCGACGATGTGCGCTGAGAGTATACGAAGGCAAATGGTCCCGTTACCGACGTAACAATACCAAACGAGAGGTGCCCTGGGATGAGGTCGAGCAAATTATGACCCCAGCGGAGCCATCGATAGAGCCTCAAACGACAGACGCTGAAACATCTGGCAACGAGACTCCCGATTTCAGTGCAAGAGCCAAACGGAGCGGGACGCCACTTCCCTTTGATCAACTCGCTCTGTCAGATTCAGATGAAGAATCACTTGTAGGAGAAAGCGAACCCGCTTCGCGAAGTGCGTCTCAGTCGAGGGATATTGCGGATCAGCCCACAAATCCACCTGCTGACATCGTACCTGAGAAGCCTGGACCCCGCAAGTTAACCCTGGGTGAGTTCGATCGAGAGATCAGTCGAAGGGAGGAGCACGCCCTTTGGGATATGCTGGATCTTGAGCCAACCGTCAAACTTGAAGAAGCCAATATCGGCGAAGAGAGCGACGAGGATGATCCAGAAGAAGGCGAAAAGATTATAACACTCCCCGATGGTTGGCGCTCCTGGACACCCTGGCGTACCGAATGGGAGGAGCTCGACACTCCACCGCCTGAGACTGCCTTTCTTGCAAACCAGAAGCCTCTTGATGTGCCACCCATCCTTCAAGGGCACAGCTCAGACACTGCCGAGTCTAGCTCCGACGGTGATACCGACGCACCAACGCAAAAGCCGGGGCATCGGAGCAAGCCGTCCATTCAGCAAACGGTTGAGCTACAGACCCGCGGTACACACGCTTATGCTGCACTACAAGGTCAAAGCTCAAAGCCCGTTGGGTCTCCAAGCGAAGCTAGCTCCCAAGACGATGACACGAGTGATGACAATGCACAAGACCATGGTCTACCTCAACCCCCCATCGACGATACTAGGGTGGAAGTTCCTACCTCAGAATCAAGCGATGGTTCGAGTGATAGCAGTGATTCGGAGTCGCAATGGCCGACGCAGTCTATCGAGGACAACAAGAAACCGACTCCTAGCGTAGGATCGAGCGAAGTAAGCACCGACATAGAAATGGATCAGCCTGTGCGGTCCGTTGAGCCTCGCAGCACTCGGGTTCCTGCAGTGGATTCAGACGACGAGCCGAAAGAGATGGATTGGGAGAGCTTTATCCATTAGTGGTATATCACATGCGTTTTGTTTGTCGCATTCGACGTAAGCAATAGCCACAGCAGTCATCATCAGAGCTTTCGGTCTCTCACTGTCGAGTCTATCAACGTGTTGGGCTACGTACTCACAGCAAACGCTCACCTCAATCAGCCTGTCGAAGCGCCCGACCCCCATACTCGTCATGCCTTCTCACCCACTCGAACGAAAGCACGCCATACGCCTCTTTGCATTTCACTGCGATGTCAGCGAGTTATAGTGGGCTATGAGACCCAGTCAAAAGGACCTGAGCAAGTTATGCGTCACGGCACGTCACGTTTAGGACTTCATGGGTCAAATGCTTCCATTTTGCCACGCAGCGAACCTCCACCGCAGCTGTGACTGCCTGTAACTTCGAATAGATGGGGTGCTGTACGCATCACAGGTTACAACTCACTCAGTGACGCAACTTCATCCGCTTGCCCCCCGTCACAGACTCGTGATATATATGTATGAGATCTCCCCTGACTTCCCCATTCTCATCACACTACACCTGCAGAACAGTCTCAACATATCCAACCCCCTTTAAGCAACTCCATCTGACCAACCGTTCCCACCATCAACCCACAGCCACTACCTCGAACCTCACATCCCCACGAAACAAAACAATGCACATCGCTACCACCTTCCTCATCACCCTAGGCGCCCTCGCCTCCCTCACCTTGGCCGGAGAAGGCGGTGCGCCGGACCCTAACTGTGGCGCTCCATTCTGTAAGCGCGCACAGGCTATGGAGAATATCAGGGCGTCGTTGCTGGCCAAGGCTAGCGCTACTGCTACTGTTGTTCCTACTATTCCTGCGGCTAGTGCTGGCGCGGATGCGCATGCTGAGGCGAAGTAGGATGGGCGGATTGGTATGTGTTTGGTCTTGGGATGCGGTGCGAGTGTTTGCTGACGGATTATAGGTCGTAGCGAGTCTCCGAGGTGACGGCTGTGTAAAGGCGGTGCCCTTGAGCGGTGGACGTTTGAAGTGTGTGGCGATCTTGTGTTTTTGGGATTATGAGATACTGGGCGCAGACGAGGAACGGCAAGGCGCCATGGCTGGCGTTTGTCGATTTCAATGTGTTGTGGAGAGCTCATGTTACAGTGATCGTAGACCACGAACAAGCTTGCCTGTCAAAAAATTGCTCGTGTGATTATCAAAGGAACCTTCTTTAGATGATTTGCTAACAATACTAAGCCTATAACCTCTTTCAACCTCAAAGCAAATCATCTAGATAACCTTTTTCGACACTTCTAAAGCTTATATCCAAAGGTTTACAAAGGCTACTGTGGGTGGAAACACGTATGTGTACGGGTCTCTAGGTGCGGCTCTCTAGTAGCTGTGTGAACAGTCGGCGGACTTGCCATTCACATCGGGCGTAGAGAAGTCTTTAGTCGCGAAGACACTGTGCCAACGTAGTATTGCATCTTTGTCGAGTATACCATGCCGATGCATGCGTGAACTTGTAGATATCCGCAGGATGTCCGGGGTGTTGTGACATTACGGACGCGATAGTTCTCAATGAAAGTATCGTGGATTTGACCAAATTCATTGAGAACTATAGCGTCAGTCATGTCACAACATCCCGGACATCCTACGGACTCGCAAGTGCCTCAATCGTATCGTAACAGTGACGCCTGTTTCGGCTGCCCCAGATGACGGTGTTCGAGCTGTTGCTCGTTCCAACCCGATATACCGATGCTCCTCACAAGGAGACTGTATAGCCGTCCCTCATGTTCCATTCCGGATATGTTCGACCTTGGTATCAATCCGATGCATGCAACTCCACTCATCGAGATAGAGTTCCTGCACCAGATTCACACTACCAAACCATTTCTCACCCAGCCCAGCACCTGGAAGATCGGGGTTAAGCTTAAGCGCCTTCGCACTCCCAGCCGCCGCCCCGTATTGTTCAAAATGCTTCAACGAGTCGATCGCCCACACCATCTGCTCGTCGTCGCGATAATGCTCCTTTAACCTTGCTCGCCTAATATCCTTTCTTATCTCAGCTTCGGCGGTCGACCACGGCGGCGGGTAATCCGAGGGCATGAGCTTCTCGCCCTTTTTGAGGCGTGCGTTGTTGGCTTGGATCTTCTTGGCGGTCTTGATGTGCCATTCGTCTTTGAGGATGCGGAGGCGTTCTTGTTCGCGGAAGAAGAGTTGGAGCATGTTCTTCCAGTTGAAGTTGATTTCGCGCGCTGCGACGTCGATGGTGAGGTCGGGGAGCTCGGTGTCGTTTACTAGGTCTCCGATGCTGATTGTGTAGTTGGGCATTTCGGCCTTCCAGTTCTTGACGTTTTCTTCCCAGCGGCGCGTTACTTTGTGGTAATGCTCGCGTTCCTTCTTCCCCGATGCTTTGTCTGAGCCGGGATCTGGTCGCTCATCTTTGAACCAGGCTGTGAGCTTATCTTTGCCTTTGCCGCGTCGCGCGAGCCGCGTGGACACCTCTGGTCTCTTGCTCTTCCCGCCCAGGTTGTACTTCTCGAGCTGGAAGTCTATGTGTATGTCTTTGAGGAAGTGCTCGCCGAAAGCATGCTCGACGCATGCGCGGAGGGTGGGAGAGACGCGTCGCACGACATTCCAGAGGTGCGCGAGGTCGGTGTGATAGCGAAAGACGTTAATCCACACCTCAGCTGGCAGGGAGGGACAAAAAAGTTCGCGAGTGGTAGTTCGGCGTGGGGCTTTCGAAGCCATTTCGAATGCATGGCCCAGGGCATTTGGGCCACATGATGCTTCACGTTCTGGCAATCTGAGGTGTGCCGTATTGAAGCCCAGGTTTGCGAGTCAAGCTAGTGACGTAAGCAGGGCCGTCATGACACTAGGTGGCAGAACTCGCAACGCGAAGATGCCCACAAAGGAGCAAAAAAAAGATGTCTGATCTCCCCACCATGAGTCGAACAAGGGACCTTCTGATAACAGCAGATATTACAGTCAGACGCTCTAAACCAACTGAGCTACGGGGAGAATACTTCAGATCGAAATCGTGCTTGGTTATGCGAAAGTGGGAAAGATAAACATATATATTGTCATTCAATGATGATAGGGTGAAGTAGCTCACATCATTCGACTCGTAAGAGAACGTATCTGTGCGGGCGGCAAGCGAAATAGAGCCTGTCATGCTCTCATGATAGCGCGGGGTCTAGGTACCCCACCTGGGCAGAAATCGGATCGAGGATGAGCGACATCTGGAGCAACCTCAAAGTTATCGCAACCGCACTGTATACTACCTAGGTAAAGTACAGCTTAACACTCAGCCCGAGACAAGACCGGGCCCCAGTTTGAGTCGAAGGCGCGCTTTAGGCTTCGCAGGAGGGGTACATACCTACCTAGGTAGGCATGGGCTCACTCTAGAAGGCTGCATCTTCACCGTTCGAATCATTACTTAGATCATCAAGCAGCCACGCATTCGAGGAGCACAATCTCGGATGTTTCTTGACTGTAATTGGCTTCGTGGGAGTATGTCTGAGCCAATGGTTGCGTTTCTCACCGCATATGGGCCAGAGTATCAAAAGATGGCGTTCGCTCAGCCTTGTATCTTGCAGTTCAGCTGGAAGGCCGCAGCATGGTGATAAGCGCACTCTCCCCGTTCTTTCGTCTCTGCCTGCTTCTCCGTTTTCCCCCAAAAATTACCACTCTTACCAAGGTTAACGCATTTCATGTTCCGAAGGTCCCACTCCACCTCCTCGAACGTGTCTATCACAGCTTCGAGATGAAGACTGCACTTTCTTCAGCCTTGCGCGTCATTTGCGCACTCTGCTTCCTGCTCAGCCTGGTCGAAGGTTCGAATAATACTACAATCTCAGAAGACGGGACCACGAGATATACAGGATGGCACAAAGGTCCAGCCGAGCGCGGCACGATGACGATCCTTTGGAGTTGCTTGACCACCGTTTTCGCTTGTACTTGGACCATCCTTCACCTAAACGTTCCTTACTTCGAGGACGGTAAATGGACGAAGATCTTGCGGAAGATCAAATGGATGGCAATCACCATCATCTTCCCCGAGTTCATATTCGCGAAAGCAGTTTGTGAGCTACAAATGGCCATCGAGGACCTACGTGAACTCAAGAACCACGAAGGGCTTCTAGGATGGGAGGTGGAATACGGTCGCGGTTGCCGGATACTCTACTGGCTATTTCATCCCCACAGAACATCATCGTCGAGACCACCACCTGCCGTTACCGCTCCAGGATCGATAAAATCCAGAAAAAGGTGGACTCTAACACATTGCTATTTCGCCAACATGGGCGGTATGGTTTTTAAAGCGTCCTCTGATTACTCCTCTGATTACGATCAGTACTTGCCAGTCACGGCGCATGCCTTGGCAATGTTCTGTGTTCCAAACACACAAAACCTTCTCGATGAAAACCTTCTTGACGAAACCTGTCCCACTCAAGAAGAAATTCTGGACAAGTCCAAGGCAGATAATCTTTTGAAGGCGGTCGCAGCGCTTCAGATCTTGTGGCTGATCTTATCCGTCATAACACGAAAGATCTATGGCCTACCAATCAGCCTCTTGGAAGTCTGCACTGTAGCATTCGCTGCCCTTTCTGTAGCTACTTACGTAGCGAATCTCGAGAAACCGAAAGATGTTGACGTCCCCGCCCTCTTAAACGGAAACTATGAGCATATCGGCAACAAGCATTTACTCGACCTGTGCGGCGAGTCCTTTTTCGCACGAACAGTCGTACCGACCGGTCAGCATGGCCCCAAACTTGGAATGGCGCGCATAAAAAACGACATGCTGAGACTCCAGGCTCACGGAACGCAACATCTTACATTGACGTATGCACTGGCAGTCTCTACAATATGTTTTGGTGCCATTCACTGCGCTGCCTGGCAAAACTACTTCCCAAGTCAGGTCGAAAGGAGACTTTGGCAAGTTTCAAGTGTGCTGTCGTCTACATTACCTCTGACTAATTTGCTTGCCTTGTTTGCGTCCAACGTCATAATGGGGAGGAAAGCTCACAAAGTCATGACCTCCATAGGGTTTCTCATGGGAACTGCTAGCGGACCAACTTCCGAGTCTGATCGGCGCACAAACCTGACACGTGTGAAATTCTGGTGGAAAGATGGCGAACTTTTTCTCCATGGACTTGATTCTAAAGGACAGGTATCAGTTCAGGTATTTCAACTCCGAATTTAGTGTTGATTGCGAAGCATGACTAACGCTCTTTCAGGATATTCATGACCTCGAACTGGCCATACTAGGTCTCCTTGAAGTGGAAAAGGAAGTAGGAAAGGGCGAAGCGTCCCGGTCTTGGTGCACAGAGTATCTACGCCGCTTGAGTAAGTTAGACAGACGCAATTTCGACATCGCGTACGAACTTGAGAACACCCCGGAGGATAATCTTCGTGCTGGATCAATCAAAACATCGATCCCGGGGTCGTCAGCCTTTTCCGTAAATGAGATGCTGCCAATACTCAAAGTCATCAACCATCCGCAGGGAATATCTGCAAAGCTTTCTAAAGAATGGGATTCCTTGGTTAAGTGGGTTGACATCACATCCATTGGACTCACAATTCTCTCGGGGTTGCTTTACGCTACAGCACGTCTTATGTTACTCGCTTTAGCTTTTGCGGCTTTCCGGAAGCAAGATGAAAGATTGTACGTAGACACATGGGCACGATTTCTTCCTAGCATCGGGTAGATTGCTCTCAGACATATATAGCACAACAAAAAGCGTGTCTGACCACGACATGATGTACCACAAATCCAAACTTTACATACTTTCGGTGACTTCTCACTACGCCCGTCTTCAAGGCGCTATTACATCGCCCGGGTAGTCTTCCAGGCTCCGCGACGGACCATTTCAATGTTCACCCAACACTTTTGTTGACTGCATAGTCGAGCACGACACAATAATGCTTCACACGGTTTTCATCGCTACACGTATTTGTATCAAACTGAACACACTTCGAACCATTTCAACGTAGTCAGATCACATGCAAAAGGAACGATAGTAGTATGTAGAATATATCATTCTGTCTTAACCATACTATGTAACCACACCAACGCTTTTCCCCATCCAAGAAAAAAAAAGCGCCGATGAACGAACTTCCAGTCTGTGTTCGTGTCCCTTATATCCCAAATCCTTCCAATCCAAAGATGGTATAGAAAACCAAAAAGAGAGCAGCCACCCAAGCCCTAATTCATTACCACGAAAAGAAAAAAAGCGGCCCAAAGCACTAAAATCGGGCACAGCCCACCCTTCCCGAAGGAAAACGAATCGAAGAAGATGGAAGGAGTGGTGTAAAAGACTAAATACATGAAGCGTAAGATTTTGAAGATACACAACGAAGCGAAGCAGGTGACAAGCATAAGGAAAATGATGGCAGTAGTAGCGAGGACGACGGTAAATAAGCAGACTGGTATCGCGCGACAAGCAAAAACAAGATTTTGTATCGGTCGGCATAACAGGGACGTAAGAAAAGACATGACGACGTAACGACCGCATCCTGGTCGCTTGGGATTCAAACGCCAGCGGGTATAGACAATATCAATATCGAGGTTGTAACAGATTTGTTTTAGACTGCCGAAGCACGTAGCGCGGCCTCGGGTGGTGTAGGAGGCAGTGGCATGGTGGGTGGTGGAGCTGGGAGACCCATGCTCGATGGTGGTGGTGGAGGGAGCGGCATGTTGGGTGGTGGTGTGGGTGAAGTTAGGTTGCGCGGTGGGGTCGGTAGTGTCGGTAGTGGCATGGTTGGTGGTGGGGCGGGTGGTGGTAGGCCCATGGACGCAAGGCTTCGTCGGGGTGTAATTGTCTTTTGCTGCGCGAAAGCTTGCTGTCGGAGTGCTTCGACACTAGGTGTTGGCTTGTGAGATCTGGTGTCTGATGATGGAGCAAGTGCGTTGGACATTCTTCGGCCGGGAACAAAGGACGGTGTGGATGCGATGGCGCGGATTGGGCGGTTTGACAGGAAAGGCGCGTGGTCGGCTGAGCGTACTTGTACTGAAGCAGGACGGCGCAGTTGTTGCGATGCCTGCGCGGAATGCAGACTGTGTGGGTTGGTGGTGGGCGTCATGTTCGAAGCTGCCGACGGCGGCCTTACAGGGGCAGTCACCGATCGGTTCATGACCATACCAGATGGCAGTGGCGAAGGTGTTGGCGAAGGCGTGAGAGAAGACTGCCGCCTTGGCAGGATCGTGGACGAGTCGCCATGCTGTGCTTGAGGACGAACTGGAAATGGCCGTAAGAAGGGCTTTGGCGAGATCCTGCGACGAGTCTTGCCATCACCAGCACTGGCAGTAGAAGCATACATTGGTGCCGGGCCCATCATTGACTGACGCTGGGCGGGTGGCGGGGGTACAGGAGCAGGTTCTTTGGGAGGAGGTGAAATGGTATCCCGTCGAGGTGTAGCGCTGTAGATGTGCGCGTTGAACCGTACTGGGCTATCCTCACGAGTGGGTACAACGTCATCGCTAGCGGCCTGAACGGAAGTATCGATCTTCGGCTGAGAGGGAGACGAGCGGGCTGGCGCGTTGTCGACCGTGCTTTGAGCTGCCTCCTCCTTCACTGGTACGACCGGGCCCGCGACGAACGGCTTCCCTAGTTCTGGCACTGTCGGAGAGACCGGGCTGTACAAGGAGTGTCGCTTGATTGTAGAGGGCACAGTCGTGGTCTGGATCAAGTGCTCATTAGTGATTGGCAAGGGCTGCATTGACCTGCGGCGAGACGACATGGAGTTACTGGGGTTCATGTGGAATGACCGCAGCGACATGGCACTTCGCATGGGCTCACTCTCTCCAGTGGTGAACTCATCTTTGAGAGGGGAGTGTGGTGCTGGAGACGACTCCCGCGATGTGTTGCGGGTGCCTGCGCCTGAAGCTGACGTCGCTGTCGACATGAACGAGTATCGTGACCGTCCGCGAAGCTGGTCAAGCTGTACTTGATGCTGAGAGACAGGCGTCGAAGCAACCGATGACATTTCGATTGAGATGCGGCTGTTATTGTTATTGTTGTACCGAGCCGACTGTCCACTAGAAGAGTCGATGCTGATCTTGGTCTGGTCCTTTTCACTGGCGTCCCATTCAGAGGCCACGATTTTCGGCGACGTTGAAAGCTGCGGCTCCGTGGACACGATCCTGCTGACAGCATTTGGGTCGCGGTTGACCCTGTACCGGTGACTAGTTGTTTCTGAGGAGTTCTTGCCAGCGGAGTCATCTGTAGAAGAGGACGCTCGCGCGTAGTCATCCTTTGCCTTCATGCCGCCGAGGCTGTCGATCTCCTTACGCACACTGGTCATCCACTCGTCCATCTCTTCCGCACTCTCAAGAACGAGGAGAAAGCTTGTGGCTGTCTTGCGCATGGTGGCATTTTGTGTTCGCAACCGAGCAAGAAGAGAGTTCTTTGGTCCTGATTCAAATGTTCCGTCGTCGCTTGCGTGGCTGGATATCTGTAGCACCCAGTGCTTGCCAGGTATGAGATCGCACGCAAATGCCGCTGATTCCTTGCCGAGTTTGAGCACCTTTTCAGGCAAGCGATCGAACGCGCCATCACCGGCATACTGTAGCACAAAGCCGGCCGTGACCAGAATGTATATCTTGTTGACAAGCTCCGGAGGTTGTGGGTTCAGCACCGAGTTGGACATGAGGCGCTTGTGGTTCTTTTCTAGTTTCTTAGTCTCTGCGCCGTTCTCTGCGATGGTAGACAAGTCGCGCTGGATGTCTAACTTCTCGCGCAGCGATTCAGCCTGTTGTCTCTGACTTTGTGTCCTCATCAGGATCTCCGGGGCGAACACACATGCCTGTACGGTAGCGTGCTTCAAAGACTGCGGGAAAGCCTGGAACAGCGGAGGTGGATCCCAGTTTCCGAACTCGTGGTGTAATGCAGCTGGTCGCATCGAAACGGGTCGGAAGATCTGGCTTGAGCGTGCGCGAATCGTCTGCTGGGCGGGCGGAGAAGGATTCTGTCGGAGAGAAGACTTGGGTATGGAGATCGGTGGGCTGGGTTTAGGTGGCGTCTGCGGTCGCATTGGTACGGCAAGGCCAACCTCGGTGTGCCCGCGAGCTTTCTCTACTTTGGGTTTACTGAAGAGGCTGAACAACGACATCTTGGAGGCTACGCGTTCCACTTTCTTAGGAGGTGCTGGCAACGGGGCCTGTTTCTTCGCTATCGACGGTGTTTGTGATGCGACGGATGGTGACCGTTCCGGTTCCTGCAGAGTCGCGGTGGATCGATTGAAGCGCCATCGAGACGACATCGATGAGCTGTGAGTCTTGTTCCGCATGTTGCCGACAGGATTGGACGAAGCAGCAAAGATTTGGCCAGACAGGGCGGACATGGTGGGCGACCTTGGCTTATGAAGCCGGCGAAGTACGGTCGATACCAGAGCAACGTTGGCTCAAACGGTAGATGTGGGCGGGCAATCCAGGTCGTGCAAATTGGTTGCACGGGCAATCCAAGCGTTCCTCAAGACCCTGACAGGGTAGGCTTGCATTCAGCGTAAGCAAACCGTCGGACCGAGTCAAAGTATGGAGTCAGTAGAAAGTAGTTTGTCGTGGGAGTAATAGTGCAGTGCTGCAGTATGGCGAGATCAGTGCGCCGGTAGAGAGTGTGGAGATTGCCAGGTTGGGGGTAGAAGGAGCGTGGTATAGGTGGCAGGAGTATAATACTAGGAGAGGGAGAGATCAAACGAGAGGACAGGACATGAGCCCCTAGAGAAGCAGAACGAGCTGCAGATATGACGGAAGCAGAGGAAAGCAGACGGGACTGAAACGACTTGTCAACGTTGAGTTGAGTCGTGGAGAGGAAAAGTGGCAAGCGTTAGTTGCCGCAGATGAATGCTCCCTAATCATGGTAGCGTACAGGGGGAGCTGTTCCCAGGTTCCGTCGTGTGTGATGCGAGGACGCAGGGGCTGCACGAAGGCCCCTTTACGGTCATATTCAGAAGAAAGTTGGGAGGGATGCGATGGCGCCGCACGCTAGCGCTCGCCTGGCCAAAATTGGCGTGTTTGACCTGGCTAGCCGGTGAAGTGTCGGCACAACGTCTTTTGACAGTGCTCGCAAGCTACATAATAGACTCGACGCCAGACGGCGAAGGTGTGTTGCCCGGACGCAGCGGGATCTCATCAGGCGCCGACGACGATGAAGATTGTCGACGTGCAGCCACGATGTTTCAGCGGCAGCCTCGGGCCACTGTGCCCAAGGCCGTCGCTGAAGCTTGCTGGCGTGCTGGCCCAACGTGGAGATTTGATTGCACGGCGTCGTGACTGGAGTCGAGGCCTGCACGATCTACGACACGTCGGCATGAATGATCGCCGACAGTCAATACTCGGAGATATTGGATGGGGTTCGCAAGCTCGATATTCCTTATTGCGGAACCCATGGCCCCTTCCCGCCAAACACGAATTGAATCTGAGAACATGTGGTGAGGGCGCGAAAAAGCAGCGCGGGCACTGCGGCAGAAGTACCCGGGGGTGCTCTATGTAGAGCGACACAACTCTGGGCGTTTTGCATAGTGGTGAGGTCGTCTCAGGTGTGACGCAGACGGCGAGGTGCATGCACGTATCGATTATCGAGCTGCGATGCCCGCCGCTGCACAAGGGTGGCATGCACAGTGGGAATAGTGCGAATCTTATTGCGGCGCGAGATTTCGCAGGGCTGGAGCGAGGAAACAGACAGCAAAAGGAAATGAGGCTGACCTGGGGAGGATGCGGCGTGGGCGCAGGTGTACCTTGCAGTAGCGCTGGCCGTGCTCAGGGCCGCCCAGGTGTCACGCTTAGCCCCGCTCACCCCACCAACCTCATCGAACGGGAGCTCAGCACGAGGTCACGCGTCGCTGGTGACTTCATCCTATGCCCGCGCCTCATTCTTAGGACGGCACATCACACCACCACCTGAGAGTCCTAAGTACTATGGCGCCCGATCTGAACACCCTGCCCGCGTCTCCCCATGCATCTCCCTCTCCCCGCAACCAGTCACCCACAAACTCACGCACCATGGCTACTTCACCGCACTCACTCGCTGCCACTGCCGCTATGAATGCAGGTATTCACAACGAAGAGACGCGTCGACCTTCTTCGGGTAGTATGCGCAGGGATGTCGAGCGTGCGCGTCGCCGGTCCAGCATTCGCATGAACCTCAACTTGAACGACCCAGCTATCCCGGCACCTGGAGAAATGCAGCAGAGCCCATCCTCCCGTAGCAGGGGTCCATGGCCGCATAGCCCGCACCATGAGCGTGCGCCTAGTTTGGGCGAGCTGCATCAAGAGCTGGAGTATGAGCAGGAAGGACAGGTGGTGAGTTTTCGACATGATGGCAGAGAGTGTAGAGCAGACTACCGCTTTTTGTGCTGTTCTGTCTAGCATGTATCTTTATACTGACGTCTGTAGAACCGTCTACTCAACATGATCCGTTCCCAACAAGCTCAGATCAACACCCTCCAAGCAAACCAGCAGCAGCCCTCTGCTTCCGCCGTCGACGATAGCACTCCAACCTCGGAGCGCTCCATGTCTATACCTCCCTCGCTCACACAGTCCACACACATCTCACCACCTATCGTCTCACCCTTACCATCCGCTACCCATCCTCGATCGCGCTCTCCATTCGGTTTCGGTACCATCAGTCGTCAGTCATCCTTCGCTGATCGTTCACGACACAGCAGCCATGCCGGATCTCCAGCTCTGCGTCCCATATCAGGCCAAGCAGGACCCTACGACCCCCACGATATGCTTCCCAGCCCCGCGACTTCAAGAGACGAGAGTGCCTTCTACCAGGCCGAAACCCAGAACCTGACCCGCGAGAACCAGATGCTGAAGCTAAGGATAAGAGAACTTGGTATGCCATTTCCCAGCCACCACATTGAAGCGCGGTGCTAACATTTCGAACCCAGAGCGCCAACTAGCAGACCAAAACCCCACCAGCCAAGTCACCCACTCCCCCACCGTCCACTCCGGCCTCGCTCCTGCCTCGACTCATGAAAACACAGACCAAAGCATCGAGGGCGGCCAGCCGCCTGCATCGGCGGAGTAGGAATTCTCGCTAGACTGTGTTTCAAGGGCGTTTGGTTCTGGCGCCTCATCATACGACATTGACGAAGCGTGCTGGCGCAGGAAAAAATGATTATACTGCATGGTTGAATGGCGTTTAGGATAATCCTCCAGTACGAGAAGGACAAGTTTCCCTCCAGCACGTTCGCTGGATGTAGTCAAGATACCTGTTATCCCGACTCGTTTCTTCATTTGCACGCATGAAACCGCAATTCTCCACTTCCTTCTCAGCTTAGTCTCCAGATCTACCCTCAATCTTCTCTCACAATTTGAGTGCACGAAACCCACCATGCCAACATGATTATTTCCATACCATCCCAGTGTTCTCACCAACAAACCCTCGTACGAACCCCCCTCCACCCAACTTTACCACACCCATCCCAGCACCAAGGTCAACCCAGCACCCAACCCCCGAACCGAATGCAACAACCGTTCATCCCGTCCCTTCCCCACCTCGGCGTAAGCGAACATACCGTAATCACCCACGTGTAGAGTTTTCCGTTTTTCGCGGGACATGAATCGACCTTGTTTGATGTACATTAAGCGTTTACCTTTACGCCCGCGCATAATTTATCGATAGCGAGGAAAAGATAGAAAACTTGATGGATGTGACAAGGGACCCCACTTCGGATTGATTGGATGCGTACCCCGCGTTGTGTACGTGGCTTATTGATGAAAGTCTTGGTTGGTGACAGTGCTTGGGTAGAGTTTTCTGGTTCGTTGGTAGAAAGTTGTCACAAAGTTGTCAGGGCAATAAAGTGTAACAGGTTGAAAAGGTGGCGGAGTAGGTGGTTAGCATGGTGTTACCCAGTATACGTCCCGTGGGTATCAGGTATACAAGTTGAAAATATGTCGAGTGATCGAATTGGAATATGTAGCAAGAAAAGAGTCGCTACACTAAACATGTACAGGAACAAACACCCTGGTATCCGCTAGACACCCCATGCCCTATAATCCGTCTCCAAATCTCTGCTGCGTGCATAGATGTGGGTGGATGTGAACCGTTCTCATAAACGCCTGTTGCTCCGTCCAGCTAATCCATGCAAAGTATCAAACCGCTGTCAGTCCGATGAGTACGCGTCCTCTACCTCTTCTTCAGAGCACGTGTAATCCTCTTCATCAGAGTACGTGCAATCCTCTTCTAAGAAGGATTTCTACTCCTCCTCTACCTCCTCCACCGTTGCGCGCGGCGCCCGTTGTGTGACGGCACCCTCTGGAGCGGCTTCTGAACCGGTAGGCTGTGGTGCGGAGTTGACAGGCTCAGATGCAGGGGCAGCAGCGGGCGCTGGTGCAGCCTGAGCGGGGGCAGCATCGATGGCGCCCTTCTTGGGCTTCCCGCCGGCGGCCTTTGCGGCGAGTTTGGCCGCCTTCTTCTCCTTCTTTGCAGCCTTCTTCGCCTTGATGTCTTCGGGGGTCTGAGAATATTAGCTTTGAATCTACAAGCTTCAGCAAAGGAAACATACCTCTTGCCATGCGTAGACAGGCCGGAACGAGTCGAAGAAACCAACATCCTCAAACAGATTAGGGTAGAGCCAGAAGCCAGGTGGTATCGTGAAGACGGTAATGATGAAGATGATGAGCCGAACAATCGCCATGGCGAAGAACAATCCGATAAGACCAAGCATGCCCATACTCAAGTACCACACGCCCTGTCGCAAGAAAAGCGGCCATAGAGGGAAAAGCACTATCGTAATGACGAGAAGCAGTGCGCCAACAGCGTACAGCTTCTGCTTCCATTGCGACCCCTCGTACAGCCAGATGTAGTAGTTGTCGTCGTTCGCGTCTTGGTGCTGCTCGATCTTGACTGTCCACAAACCCTTGACGCGCTTGGGCTTGGCGTGGTTGTGGCCGTCGTGCGCGTGGTCGTCGACCTTTGTGACTCGCAGCGCGAGGAGAGAGAGGGGTAGAAGCTTGAAGCAGTTCTCGGCGGAGGCACGGTCGATGACTTCGGGGAGGAGAGGGTTCTTTGCTCGGGCTTTCTGATATGCGGGGGACTGCAGGGCACGGATTGCTCGCTTGACTGTTGGGTGTGAGTATGACGTGTATAACTTGGGTGTATGCGATGCCTACCTTTGAACATGTCCTTCCTTTTCTCGTCATGTACGACTGTCCTAGGCTTCAAGTCCTGCGACTTCAGCCAGTTGGCGACAGCAATGGCTTCTGGCTTGGGGGGACCGGGCTGGATGGGCTGCTGTTGCTGCTGCTGAGCACGCTGTTGCGCCTGCATTTGCGCCTGTTGCTGGGCCATGGCTTGCTGGCGCAATCTTCCGACGTATTCTTGAACCGTGATACCGTGTTTCGCTGCCTCGGCCTCTAGTTGCATTTTGATCTGTTGTATTTGCTCTGGCGTAGGCTTTTCGCCATTGGGTCCGAGGGGAATGGGAATAGAAAATGAGCCTGGTGGTGGCCCGCCTTGAGGGGGACCCTGCTGCGGTGGGGGACCTTGCTCTTCCATGGTGAAAGGGAGACTCGTGACGTTCGGTGAGGTGAGTGCAGCGGTGCCTGTGCGGGAATCCTTTGGTGTGGAGGGCGTCCGGGGGAATGAGGGCTCAGTGTCTGACCACCGTGGAACATTCGTAATGATGCCACATTGCGAATGGTAGGGCCGAGCGCGGCATGACTAAGCCACCTCCGATAGAATAAAATCTCTGCGGGCTGCAACTCTGCTTTACAACACCGCAAACACCACTTTCTACCACACATCTTTCTCGTCGCGTTCACGACTGCACGCACTGGTCTACACTCTACTGTCTGTTACTCTCAGCCATTATCGCTATTGCATCCGCATGCAAACCTGCCAATGCGCAGTGGCTGGGCGCACAGTATACAGTCAGGGACCCATCGAACTACATTTCATACTAACCACCGCTCTTTCCTGAGTACCTGCATCTACTCTACGCCTTTGGCGATGAGGCGCACGTCTGGCCATTGCGGCAAGGCGTTGGTACTCGCCTGGAACAGCGCCGCTTCGTGTCGCCTGGGCGCATGCGGTGCTTCCGCGTACAGTCCCGACAAGCAAACTTGGATATCAGAATCAAGCCAGCTCACTACGTCGCTGCCTGGACATGCTCCGAACCATGCATGCTGGCATGGTTCTGGCGGCGACACTATGCTCGTGATGTTCACTTCACCAACACTCTGGCCCTTACTTCCCTTACTGTATAGGCCTATTTTGGTGTGAAGAAGAGGAAAATGACCCATTACTCACCGCGTTGTCTTGCCTTTTGGTTTGGCTCCAGTGGTCCTTTTTCGAGGTCAACATACATGCACATTGAGTTTCTGCTCATGGTCATGTGCTGTAGAATACACAGCTTCCGCTCCGTCCGGTGCCGCATTCTTGGTACGCTATGCGGATCGACATGCACCTGGCACATGAAACATGGCATCAGTGATGAGTTACTATAACCGTGGTTCGACATGTGAAGACAGATATGCAGCCGTCTCAGTCAGACAAGCAGCTGCAGCCGTATATGCGGCGGTAGTCTCGCCTAAATACAAAGGGCGTTTCGGGCGCCCCAGGCTACATCATCAGAGCGCGAGCAAAAGGGCCGGCCTGACTAGGTGACAAAGAACGGACACGGCGGGCTGTTGGACGCTGGATGCATGGTGGTGGCCCAGTGGATATTGCGGCACCTGCATTGATGGACGCGCTGGTGGATTAGAAGGCTGATTGGCGCTGGAGATCGCCGTGAACGTTGGATGGGACTAGGGCCCTGGTAAGCCGCCAGAGACGGCGGCTTGATGGCTCTGCAGCCCGCCCAGGTGGAGTTGGCGACCCGCGATGCGGAGAGCATCAGGACCGACTTTTCTTTTCATCGAGTCGGTGTAGCAGCGAGCGGCAGTCAGTCTTTCGGTCTTCACGTGTATTGACATCCAGCGCCTGACACGTCTTGCGTAGAGCGCGATCATCGATCATCGATCATCACCGGAAACCCCCAGACGGCCTGTCGTGTTGCAGCAGGGATCGCTCCAAGCCACCACTCGAACGACTGAGTGCATACGGAAGTGGATAGGCCTGCCGCTGCTTGGTCTCCGCCGCACCACACCTCGTCATCTCTCGCGCCCGCCTATCCGCCGACAGCGAGAAAAAGCAGGCATCGCCGCACTGCTGAGCGCTGACATTCTCGCCCTCCGACTCGGGCGCTGGACAGCTGCAGACACGCAGCCAGGCAGAGACGACGTGACGGACCGCTGCTGCGCCCCAGGTCGCCGCCCGTACCACGCTTATCCTGTGCCCCAACCCGCTGCTGTGCGCCCTCCGCGCAGACGACTCCCGTTCCGCGACACGACGCCCGACCGCGTCCCACGAACGCGCAAACTATCCGCCTGCGAGTGCGCAGCCAGACCGGCGGCTCTGGTGCATGCGAGTGGGTACATTCCAGACAGACACGTCTAGGGACCCGCCCTTACATACCTACACCACCGGCCACCGCTCCTCGCCGCATATCCTCATCCATCGCGCGCTGACGCCTGGGGCCACCGCCACACTCCGCTCCCATCCAACCCCGCGACACACCCGTCATTACCGGCGCCGTAAATAGACGCCTACCTGCTGCCGACAGCATCTGCGACCACCTGTTCTCCCGCTACTGCCGGGGTCTCTGCTGGTGACGTGCCAGTACGGGGACGCCCGGTGCTGAGGAATCCGAGCCACGCCCCAAAAGACATGTCAGTCGTAGCAGACAGGCGACGATTTCGCGAAGGCATCGGCACCAGTCGCTCCTGGTGAGGCTGTGTCGACCCTCTGAACACCACTCCCACGACTTGTCTGATATCTCACCATGACTATGGTTCGGCAGTACCCCCCGCAGCCGCCGTCGCAGCTTCCCTCCTCCGTGGCCTACAACAACATCGCTCCTGCCCCCGCCCACGCCCCGTTCCTCCGCAATGCCGCCAACCTCGAGGGACACAGTCTCGCCCAGCAAGCGCGGCCGCAGCAGTACGCCCACCCGCTCTCCAGACACAACTCGTACGGCTCCCAGC